AAGGTCCTGTGGGCACAGCGCTGTTGTCTCTCAGACAGCTGTATTAAAGAAAACCAAACATCAGTGCGTGATCTTGGCACCACATCGGCCAAAACCCCACCAGTCTGCTACTCACCGTCCTCCTAAGAAGGCCTGGCATCTCCTAACCCTGACCCTCTGCCATGGATGCAATGCATCTGCACCTGAAAGAAAGTTAGAACATATGTCAAACACCACCAGGATAACTCACAAGCCGCAAACACCTTATGCCAACCTAGGAATAGCATCTAGAGCCCAAGTACAGCCCACATTACAAATTCCAACTCCCCAAGGCTTGTCCTATTGCAGCAGGCCATGCGGCAGGGCAGAACAGCTCCGGCACAAATATGTGCAGACACCCGTGACACAGAACGTGACAAACAGGGGGGACATGAAACACGACACATCATGCTTGTGGTGAGGGCCTCGAGGGGAGAAGGCAAAAGGGACCCCAAAGACACACCAGGTAACACGGCACACCGGACAACACGACACAGACCAGAGCTGTTCTGCACTGCCCGCCTGAAAGCTGCCATCAAAAGTAGAGCCTCTCCTCTTAGCTGTCCTAACAGGCCCTTGGAGAAGATTGCTTTTCCCTCTGCTCATTTTTAAATCTGTCACAAGAACTCCCAGTCTGCTCCTCTCCCATCTCCAGGCCGTGGCGCCCAACTTATCTTTTGGATGATTGGTGGATCCACGTTGCACCTGAAATGGGTCTGCCTCAGAGGGCCTCGTGATGGCCTGTGAGCCTCTCGGTCAGCTACAATAAAGAAAACCAAAACCAAAGTATGAGTCCAGAGTTATGTGGGCCAAATCCCAGCAAGGCAGCTACTTGCCCTTTCCTGAGTGTGCCTGGCTCCTTCAGGCTCCAGCTTCATCCTGACTCCAAGGCTGTGGCCTTTATTAGGAGTGGCACCTGGGTTAGGGAAAGGCAAAGTTAAATGGCATTGCTGCGAGTGCAGTGGATGACCTTGTGTGCTGTAAGACACGGGAATGCCTCTGCTAGGCTTCTGAGAAGCCTTGGGGGGGGATCCTCACATAAACAAATAAACACCCTTTTGCACCCTGCTGCCTGCAAACCCCCTCCCAATAACTCCTAACTGGATACCTGCTCACCCTTCCTCTCCCAATCACAATCCTCAACTCACCTGAAGCCTCAACCTCAAACATCATCCTCGACACTGGGCAGATGTCTCTTATGACACGATGAATCTGCTGAAAAAATTGTTGTGCTTGACACAGCTTGGAATTTCAGGGATTTGCACTCCTCAAATACTAAACCCCCCCCTCCAAAAAAAAAAAACACCAAAAAACCCCCCAAAAACAACCCCAAAAAGGAAAAAACCCCCAAACCTGAAAACCCACCAAAACAAAACAAAAAAAATTCCCTAAGAACCCCAAAAACCCAACAAAAACAAAAAAAACCCACAAAAACCCCCCAAAAAACCAAACCTGCAAAAACAAAAAAGAACCAAAATACGAACAAAAACCAACCAAAAACCCCAAAAAGAAAACAAAAAAACCCCAAAAACTCCACAAAAAAAATCCAACAAAAAAAACCTGAGCAAAACCAAAAAATACACAAGCACCTTACCACCCCCTAAATACAAAACCCAAAATCACAAACCTAAATAATCCCTGTATTCTGTGCTGTTTTCTTCACAGTCCCTTCCAAACCTGTGTTGCTTTAGATACCCAGAAACACCTGCTGAAAAGAAGCTGAGATGAGCTGAAAGAGCCTCTTCACTGAAATGAGAGGAGAGCTCTTACCCCAGCACATTCCAGAGAGGGAATGAAGGCCCTCAGCCCAGGCTGGGTTAATATAATCCCACCTTTTATACCTCTGAGGGTATAAAAGCCCTCAGAGCAGCTGCAGCTGTTTGGCTCCTCTCACTCAGATTCAAGGGCAGTAAAGGGCTTGTTATAGAAGAAAACTCTTTAGAAAAATAACAGTGCTTTCTTTTTTGCATCAACTACTTGGAGCAGAAGAACAGAAAACTCGTAAATATAAAACTTTGTGGTGAGGTTACATAGCTAGATAAATTTGGTAATTGGGTAATTTGCTGTTACCTTACATAGTTATTCTCTGTTTAGCAAAAGCCATCTAATAAATTCACACCTGAAACTCCAGCAGCAGAGCTGGCCCTACCAAATCTGTATGTTTATACATACAGTAAACAAAACCAAAATCCCAGTAATAGCTATCAGAAATCTATGAAAGAAACCTATTGAAATTAATCCTACCTCAAATACAAACCAACCCATCCAAAGTTAGCTTCGCTCAAAAAACAACTTACACAGAGTTAATAATACCAAGAAATAAAACAACACACCATATACCACCAATGAATATAATAGTGAAGAAAAAAGAAACCACTTTTTTTTGTTTTTTAATTTAAACTAACTTCTTTTATTAGCTAGAACAAAAGCTTTTGCCAGGACTGTAACAACAACTTCTTCTCCTTCTTCTCCTTCTGAAATGTCCCTTCTCCTTCCCAAATTCCTTACAACTTCTGAGTTTACATCCAAGCAAAAAGCAAAATTCGTGCACTTGTGCGTTCGATGCTCCTGTCAGATTCTCTGTTTCCCTCCACATCTTCTTACACTTTCACTCTTCACGCTGTCCTGCTTTTTTTGTTTTGTTTGTTTGTTTGTTTGTTTGACGGAAGAATTGGTAAAGGTAAAGAGAGGATTTCCCTGCCTCCCTCCCCAGAGCTGGTTTCCTCAGCGCATTTCACTCAATCCCAAGCCGGCAATGATGCACGCTCACCGAACTCGGAGCCGCTCTGTGCGCTCGGCACGGCTCGGCTTCATTCGGCCGAACTCGGAGCCGCTCTCAGTGCGTTCGGCGCGCCTCAGCTCGGCTCGGCTCCCTGAGGGTGGGCAAGCGGCGCCGCCTCACGTTAAACTCGCCCGGCTCGGGGCTCTCCTGCTGCCGCGTCCCACGGGCGGCCCGGCCATCGCACGGACACGATCGGGAGCGCGGGGTGGCACAGGAGCTCATTAGGCTGTGACCGCACTCGCGCTAATTAGCGGGCACGAGAGCAGCAGGCTCGGTTCGGCAGAGCTCGGCTCGGTTCAGGCAGCCTCGTAAGCTGTCAGGTTCGGCTGGTCTCGCCTTGGTTCGGCTGAAAAAAATTCTAAATTAACAGCACAAAGGACTGAGGATGATTAGATCAGAGTACATGCAACCTTAAAAGTAGTGCATTTAGAGGAGTTTAGGACTGAAATTTTCCTGCATAACTGGGATTAGTGATGCAAACCAACAAATTAAAAAAAAAAAAAAGAGGAAATAAACGTTTTCTACAGTCATTTACTCCCCCATTTTGCCATTTAAAACCACTGTTGCATCTTCTCATGCTGTGGAAGGTGTTTTCACTGAGTCAAAATGGAAGCATCCTAAATGTGCTATACTTAGAATAAATCTACTGATACAGACTTCACGGAGGATGCTACAACTGCAAATTAATTTCTCCATTCAATAAGCTATATCAACCCTATTAAGGAACAAGAATAACTCATAAGCATCTAACAGCTGTATTAATTTTCAGAGGGCAAGACATGGTTTGGATTAAGAACCCAGAATGCTATATGTGGCACTCCCTAAAACAGAAGAGCTACGTGAGCAGAGTCCACAGTGCTAAAGGAAACCTGAGAAACTGAGGAGCTGGAAAACGTCGTATTGGTTATGATGAGGGTTGCCCGGCAGCCGAGCGATGGAAAACCACAACACTCAGCATGCCCTGGGAACCAACACGGACTATAGCAAGTTCCGTCCCCTGGACCGCAGCTCCCGGCATGCGGTGAAGCACTCCCTTGCCCGCTCAGTTCCCCCGCCGAGCAGCGACTGCATCGCGCCGCGGGGCCGCCGCAGCTCCGCGCGGCTCCGGACACACCGTGCCACCCGCTCCCGCCCGGCGCCGTCCTCGGCAACCCCCGCTGCTGCTCCCGCTCGGCACGGCCGCCCGCGCCGCTCCATCCGCAGGCAGTCCCCTCCATTCGCTGCTTGTGCCGCGGGCCCCGCCAGCCCAGCTGCCCCCCACAGGCACCGTCGCCCTCCTCGGGTCTTCCCCTGGACTCACCACGCGGTCGCCCGTTCACCGCTCACCTTCAAGTAGCAGTACCAGTGTGAGGCAGAGCGCAGCCACGGAAAGCGCCACTATGGGTTTCTTACCTGGAGTTCCTGGCCAGCAGCTGGCACTGGTGACGTCTCAAAACCGCCAAGTACGGGCTTCATGCTCAGCGGCGGGGCTGGGGACAGCCTCCCCCGGCCCCCACCCGCGCTCATTCCGAGCATCTGCGCCCGCGCGGTGCTGGAGCATCACCAGTGCCCCGGGGGTTTCTCGGGCGCAGCACCGAATATTAACCGTACACGAGCATCTGTCTCTCCTATCGAAGTTGAACGGATCACTTCCGTGCAGCAATATAATCGATACGCAGATTTACAAGGCTTAATAAACTTCCCAGTGATCTTCACAAATTGCTTACAGTTGTGCAGAGAGAGGATAACGGTATGAAATGCGGTGGCAGGACCAAGCGTGCACTTATTCTTTGTCACAGTATTAGAACACAACAGGGACAGCATTAAAACGCTATTTCCACTGTGATTCCACTGAAAGTTTCTTCATATCCTTTGGTTCTTGCAATCCAAGCAAACATTACATTCAAGTATCTGATTGTAAATATTGTCATTCCAAATAAACCCCTATGAAATCTATCAATAAATGAAGTTTCCATTTAAGCCTTTTACAACACAGCTGCTGCAGTTGCCCCACCTTTTGGAAAACTTGTATGGTAAGATTTAAAACATCAAAAGAAGTCTGAAAAAAAATATACAACTGCAAAACAACTTTAAAGAAGAAGGTCAAGTGAAAGAATTTACTATTTACTTTGTTCCATATATACAAATAAAGAACTGTGATTCTTAAATACTTAAAGCATGAAAAAAAAGAAGTGAAGTATTATCAATAAACAGACATCTCTGAGAATCCATCTTTTAATAGGAAGTGCTTAAATTATATTCTTAAAACAATGCTGTGAGCAGCACAGTAACAGGCTGACCAAGTATCTTGCTGTCTTTTTTTTTTTAATATGTAGAAAACTCAGGGGAAAAAAAAACTTCTTACATTAACAGAAAAGGAGCAGACGAAAAGATAAAATCATCAGCCAAGGATTTTCCAATTACTATATGCTGTGCAGTATAGAAATATTCAAACAACTACCCTGCCCCAACTCCTCAGATTTCTCAAAAATGTCTCAGTGCTTTGGATTAAATGATGACCAGCTGAATTGATTTTGTCGTCTTGGCAACACCAAATCTAATGTCAGATCTCTTTGTTCTTTTTCTGAATCCACTAGCTGATAACCAAGACTGTTTATAGCACCTTTACAAACTTCCTGTATTTTCTTAACTTTCTGAAAGGAAAGAACATTTCTCCAGGCCTGTGAAACACTAACTGCATCTCGGGATGTTATTTTGAAGGCTTCTTTTTTTTTCCCCGGTCCCTGTCCATGAGTGATATTATAAACCCAGCTTTTGAGCCTGGGAGTCAAACTAAGATCTGCAAATTTATACATTTCTGAGATTTCTGATAATGGATCTCTTACCAGATCTTCAAAACGGACCATTAAATAGCGATCTTTCAAGAAATTAGGTGGTTTTAGAGTTGCTGTTTCATAAATCTGAACATGACTTCTACAAACCTCTTGCATTACTTTGTATTTGCTATCTTCCACTTTAGTGCCATTGGTACTCAAGACAATTCCATTGTCACGGGCTAACGCTTTCACCGATTGTTCCCGTGACTTAACGACTGCCCTGGGGTCACGGACCAGGTGAATAATTTTGAGATTCAGTGATGGATCAGTGAGGAGGGGGTATAGGACCTTCAAGTCAAAGAATCTAACTTCCTTGATGACAACATGGCTGTAAGTTTTACAGGCTTCCTCCACCTTGCTGAATGGATACCGTCCACAAAGAGTCTTGCACGCCAGTTCACTGGTTATGTCGGTACGTTGAAAAGAGTCACAAGCAGGAGCTGAACACAGAGCCCGACTTGCTGCCCACTGGAAAAGATCGGATAAGTTTCTTTTCCAAGGCATGTAAGCATCAAACACAGACATGTCACACAGAAAGACCGACCTGACTAAGTCCCGCACTGCCATGTGTAAGACTTTGGCACTGTTCTGGTACATTGTCACCCACACGTGCCATGCAGGCTCCATCAGGTAGAAGACACTGGGGTGTTGGCTGAAAAGTTGACCAACAAAAGACGATCCTGACCGCCAAGAGGAGAGAATAAGTATGTGGACTTGTGATGGTTTCTCCTCAGACTGAGGCATGAAGCTACTGTACCGGGCATACATGAAGAGTAAGAATCCAGTCTGAACTGTAACAAAAATTATAACAATTGTGCTAGGAATCCGAATCCTTGCCATTCTCACCGAGGAAGAGTAATGAAAAAAGCTGAAAAAGAGAAGGGAGATACTGGTCAACCATTGCTCCTGTGGCACAATAACAATACAACACAACTTAGACAATACAAACTCTTGCATTAGTAAAACCTTTCTTCAAATGTGCATGTATGTATGTGGCATTAACTGCTTCCTTAATCAGCTGCACTTGGGGATGATCACTGCAGGTGACAGCTGTTGGGGAAAAAAAAGGAAGTAATGTGTGACAGTAAGACCACTGCAGAAATAAGAAAACAAGTAAATGTTCAGTTTTGAAGAAAACCTTGGGTTGATGCAGCCCAACCCTTGGATTAAAAAAAAACATAACAAAACTACAAAATACACAAGGCCCTCAAATTGAACACTGGTAAACACTGCACTAAAAAAATAAGAAAAAAAAAAGTTTCTGACCCGCTCAACTGTATTTCTATTTCAATTTAACATTACAAGGATTTCTATCCCCTAAAAGGAGCGGATGCGAACATTGGTAGCTGTGGGTGCTGAAATAAAAATCATCTAATGTGAGTGCTGTACCCTACAGTGGCCACAGGGTGCCATAACAATTGGTGTTTGTCCACAACCCTCTATTTTCCAAACCGCAGAAGGCAGAAGATGGATGAAAACTCACAACCTGAAGCCACACCTGGCCACAGGTGACAAAATTTAAAAGCTCCTGACACGTATCTTTGGTCTGGAGCGCATACACCCCGAGATGGAATACACTGAGTTTGCATTCAAGAATTACCAGTTTGGGAGTTAGATTTGTCTGCGTATAACTCCTAGAAAATCTTAGGCATGTCAAGCCCAAGTGGATTTCTGCTTTACTTTGCAGTCAAAGTTCAAGACACATGCACACCCCACCCCCCCACCCCAGCTTTTAACTAGAGATTTTTGGCACCTACCCTTTTTTGCTCTCACTCATGCAGATTCCACTTGCAAGCAGACAGTAAATGTTAGCAGGCAAGGTAAAGGAAAGTAAGACTCCTCATGTATGCAGATAATCTCAGAAGTTTTACAAATACCTATTTGTTATCTAGCTGCATTTGCAATTACAATTTTTTTCTTGTTACAGTGAACGACGCATTTTTCAACACACTCTGAACTCTTGAAAGAAAATCATGCAGACTAGTAAACAAAGATATATTCATTTGACATAATCAATTGAATTGAATTAAATGATCACCCATTACCTTTATGTACACTGCATATTAAAAATGTGAAACTCTGCTTCAAAATTCTGTAGCAGCAAAAGTGTACAGGAGTTCAACAAATAATCACATTGATTTAAAATAAGTAAGGGAAGAAAAGCCTTCCAAGGACTGTTAAAGGCAAAAATGAGGCTACAGCCCATGGCTTAGCAATTCCCTAAACCATGGACAGCCCATAGTATACTGTATTGCAGTGACCTGCTACAAGAAACAAGGCTTAATGTATTACTTCCTCCTTAGCAGTCTGCTACCTGCTACTCTCAGGCACAAGAGCAGATAGATAAATCCTTACTTTAGTTCAGCTTGGCCATTCTTCATAGATAAAATCTGCCTTGTTCAAATACTGATTTTTTTGCATATTACATCTCCAGAAGCATCTATAAGTTTGTCTGTTCTGTGAGGATCACCAGCAATCCAGCAGCCTGCACTGACACTTCACCAAACAGAGGGGATGAAAGAATCTAAGCTGAAGTCAAAGCTGAAGTTTCATTTTCTAATTGAAAGATTTTTCTTGAAACAGGCTCTATGCCTGAAAGTCAGCCAGACACAACTACCTTGGATCTTTTTCTTGAGTGCAAAACGTGGGTCATTATCTACAGTAAGACTGCATTCTGCAGCTCCTTGCAGTCTCACTTATTATGTAGCTTTCAGAAACTCAATTATGCTTTTTAAAGGATAAATGTGCTTCCACTCTAGCTACACAGAACTGTTGCTCCACTGTAATCATGCTGCAGAGCTGCAACACGAACTGCTCTTTACATGTTATTAGCAGAGTGCGGGAGACTGAGGAATAAAAGCCAAAAGCTGTTTTTTACATTCACTTTTGCCTTGACTCTCTCAGACCTCTCCTTGCTCCAGTTCCCACGCAAGTAGTGTTGCAGACAACACTGTGCCAAGGAAAACACAGATAACGTGAGTATTAGTCCACAATATGTGTCTGAACTAACAAGACTCAAGTGCTACAAATAACATCAAATGACTACAGCTACACTTCATTATGATAGAAACTGCAAGAAAAAGGTGCGATGCCAAAGTAAAACACTAAGTAAATACCAGTTTTCTATATTTAAGATTAATTTTCTTTCCTTTTAGAAAAGTTGGAGTGTTTCTAAGGAATATACACACATGTAGACACCATCAAATAAAAAGCATAATTACACAGGAAAATATAGCATCTGTAAAGTATTCTCTTTTGTGGCTTCCAGTGCATAAGGCCAAATATACCACTTTCTCTGTGAACAGTGCCCTTTATTTCTGCACTTCTCCTCTTGGGCATGTGTAATTCTATTTACTTACCACTTTTAATTGCATTCTGCAGTTAAGGTGATTTTAGCCCAGGTTAAACTCGCATTCCCCTAAAGTACAATTTTTTTAACCCAACAAGGTCTTCTGTGATTTTTTGATGAACTTTAGCTGAGGCAGAAAGCAGCTGTTATAAAGCCCCTTCTCATAGAGTTGCTGAAGATCTATATATGTATCTATATATATGTATCTACATATTTATAAATCTACTGAATAGATTACATTATATCATTGCCTTAGTTGTGGACTTGGCATTGTTGGATTAACAGTTGGACTTAATGATCTTATGTTGGTCTTTTCCAACATAAATGATTCTACAATTCCAAATGTGAGGAACGGGACCTTGCGATACAGGCTACTTCTGATCCTCCACCTGTTCCACTGCAGGACTCGCTAGATGGTGCTGTTAGGCGAGCTTGCTCTTTCAGCACAGAAAGGCAATATGCCAAAACTGCACACTGAAGCTCCATGCTGAAACACTAGTCTGTGACTTGCTTTGCATTGCCTCTTTCTGCTAGTGCCCTCCTCCTCCACCAACAGCTCAGTGGCTCTACCTGCTCACCCCAAGCTCCTCTCTGGAAAGCAATACTGGGGTTTGTTACACCTCCTTTTATCCTGCTTTGTTCCACATAAGTGCTTCCTCGTAGTGCACCTGCCTGACTATAGCATGCCTGCCAACTGCAAACATGGGGGGGAAAAGGAGAACCAGCAGAGGGGCCGGATGTTTTAGCATTACCACCACTTCAGCTGCCATCTCAGTGACAAAATCAGACTGACTCCAAGTGGCAAGGGAGCTACAACAAGCAGAAAACCAGGCTGTAACGGGCCTCAAGTTGCAGCAGACAGCACTCCGACACCTCTCACATCTCTCAGCTGAGACACATGAAGTATGGCAACACTCAGTAGCATCACAATATGTGTTTCTGTAAGTAATGAACACACCTTACTATAACTTATTTTACTAACAGTTACACTGTTATTCCTTTTCTGTGATAGTAGTAGTACTTCTTTGGTGATACTATTTCTTCAAGGAGAGCTCTGGTAAAGAGAATCATCAGAAGTCCTTCAAATTCCTGAGGCACAATCATCCCTTCACAGGGCAATGCAAATTTTCAAAATGTGATCTGAAAAGCATTAGCTTATATGGTTTAGTTGCCAGTCCTGAATCAAGCTCTGTTCCTGGGCTTGCCTGCTAACAGCTACTAATGGAAACAAGATCCTACACTAGATGAGCCCTGGGACAATTCCACAACAACTATTCTTACATACTGTCCAAAGAAAATTAATCATACAAACTGGCCAACAGAGCAGTCATTTTCTTCATGACTTAAACTGTCTCTGATAGACTGCTGAGCTGCAGGGCCACTAGTATCTGCTTGCCAAGAAACTAGATACATAACAGAAAGCTATCCAGTTTTACCAAGCAGGGTAAAAATACAGTCAGTGATAGTACTGATCCCAAAAAGATCTCATTTCTAAGATGAGCACTTTTCAGACCCAGAAAGGCAGAAAACAAAGAAAAAAATTGTCCACTGGATGATCATTTAGCTCGTGCTTCTAGGGACTTTTATTTGTTTGTCACGTAAGACATATAATGTTGGAATCAAGTAATCAGATCTTTTCAGGTCAGCTCTGAAAGGAGTAGAGTTTCTTAGTAACTTCCTTTCAGCACAGAATTCAACCTGAAGAGACTTAATCGAGTAGCAAAAACTAACTTTATAGCTTAAAAAGACCCTCCTATTAAACTGCAAATTTTTTTTCTGCGATATTAAAAAGACTGTAGAAAGACAGAAAGAGTGCCTCATATTAGAGCTGTCAAAAAACATGCTCTGTCTTTAAGCTTTGGACAAAAGGCTGGGATGAAATACTCCCTCAGAACAAACAATTCTGGGTCTGTTGTGAGAAGACTGAAAAACCAGGCTGGATTAAAGCAAAAACATTTCAGTGAAGAATTACAAATACCTGCTCCCCTACAATGACCTCTGAGCAACTGAATCTCAGCTGTCTTTTTCAAAGTCTTCCCTGGCCATTTTCTGTCTGAGAAAATTTCCAGCATACTTTCATTTTAAACAGTCTGTGCAGCATTTTTAAAGTCAAAGAACTTACAGATTACACAGAAATTACTTCAATTAACGTACTCAGTTGTGGGTCCCTTTCAGCTCAGAATATTCTGTGATTCTGTTGATTTCCCAGATTGATTTCTTCCACTGAAAAATGAATAATGCTGCATTATGTGCACAACCTTTTGTTACCCAAAAATGACTGTCCTGTATGCTGACCTTTCTGAGCAATCATTCGAGATGAATGTAATTATCTCTTATGTACTTAAAATTCACCAAATGCAGCAATACTGACTGTAAAAAGAATGATAACAGTGAATGCCATCACGTATTTTATAGAATTAATAGGAAAATGTTTATTCATGGCATGATAAATAGAGCAAAGATCACCTGAAGGTCTACTTCTCCTCATCAAATTTACTCACTGCATTCTTCACCTATCAGACATTGCACCAATGCAATCACCACCAAAATAGGTTCTGTGAGCTAACGTTAGAAACATAGTTTGCTACTCAAAAAAGTAAAATGCTGGAATACGACAAAGCTGGTCAAAGAATAACACACAACAATATTACTAGTAATTCTTGCAGTAAATCACCCCACTGACAAAACATCACTTTCCAGTATTCTTATGCAGGTAGAAATCACACATCTTCATAAGGCAGAAGCTTACTGTATCAACAATATGCAGATTGGTATTTGAATGGGTACAGAAAAAGTTTGTTTGAAGGGTGTGTTCTAGGATCACTGGTAGTCCTAAAAGTTAAAAGACTTTCTGATACTAAATAGGTGAAACTCATAAGCCCGCCCAATTTTTTTAAAATAGCATAGCAAAGCTACAACTAAAATAATAAAATACAGTAAATGTACTGTAGTAATTCTGAATTATACCATTATATTAGCATTTCAGGTGATACTGCTAATTCAGCTTTTGGAAATATACTTCTTTTTAGAATCTAGTGCTAAATGAGATTTGAAGAATTGTTTCCAGGAAATCATCACAATTAAAGACTTTATAATACAATGAAACATATCATCCATTTAATTATATGATCATTAAAGTTCTTTTTCTAAAAGGTACTGTTTCCTTTGGGAGATTTAAAAATATTTTTAGAGTTAGATAAAGTCGTCCAGTCAAAGCGAATGGCAGTGTCAAAGCATAGCCTTATAATACCTATTTCTCTATGCACTGCAGCTGAAGATCACAGTGTTTTCAGCTACTAGAATTACTGGTGTTCAAGAAATGAGGTCTGCTTAGTTGCAGCTTTTGTTAGGAATTTTACGATAGCAAAACTGGCGTGACAAAGAGACACCAGCAGTGACTGAATGCTATTCACTTACTTGAGACTCTGTCGGCACTGCTACAATAGCGTCCTCAAATTCAAACAGTCCGAGGACGATTGGACTGAGGTGCGCCCCGTGTGCCTCACTTGAAGCAACTGTTGCAGCTAAGAAATACTGACAAATGCTTCCGATCAGCATGTCACCTTCACCTAGAAAGAGGCGGGACACAACAAAAAATGGGAAGGCATTTCCTGAAATGATGGGAAGGCTTCTCTAAACTCTCTCATCTCCAACTAAACGAAACCAACTTAACCTGAATCAGCCACGTTCCATAGGGAAAAGGAAGAAGAAAAAAAAAAAAGGGGGGGGGGGGGGGGGAGGCGGGGCGCAGAGGAAAGGAGAGAGGGAAGAAAATAAAACAACCCCCCCAAAACCCCACCTAAAATAACCAGGCTGATTTTCGACAGCTTTACCTCTATCGGTGCGACATGGGCTCCGCCGCAACTGGTATCACCGCTAGTCCGCCGCCACAGGCAGGGGCGCGCGTAACCCGCTCAAAAACATCTCCTTTAAAGTACCGTTGTTTGAGACCGGAAAAAAAAAAGGTCTGACCGGGCCTTCCAATGCCGCGGCATAACCGTACCCCCACCCGCATCAGCCTGTCCGTACCTTGTCGCCGCCTCCCGCCACCGCCGCGGCTCCGAGCTGCCGACAGGGACAATGAAGCGCTTTCAGACGTGGCCGAGGCGCCGGGGCAGCGGGAGGAGCCCGAGGAGCCGATCCGCCCGCCCCCGGAGCATCCCCGGGCAAAGGCGCAGCACGGCAGGGGCGGTGCGCCGGCCAGTCCCGCCCCGCAGGGTCCCGGCCGGCTCGCGGCAGCCCGCGCCCCGGCGCCTCCTCCGCGGGGTCCCGCGCGCCTCGGGCCTTCCCGCCGCAGCAGCCCCTCCATCCCGGCCCAGCATCCCCGGGCCAATAGAGCTCGGCGCGGCCGCGTCCCGCTCGCCTCGTGCGAGTGGACCGAGAGGATAATACCCTCTGCAAAACGGGCTGCTTCGTGAGTTAAAAAGCTGCGAGGTGGTTTCTTTTCTCCTAGTTCTACCTCTTAAAACACGCCCGAAGCATGGCTTCTTAAACGGCCATGTAAGAGCCGTGTTACCACGTCAGTTTATGCATAGGACTTTTAAGTTAAAGCTGCTTTCTTTTTCCTTCTTACAGAACCTTGATTAATCCTAGCGAGCCACCATGTCCTTTCTCAATGACGAGCATTTAGATTGCTCTGTCATATGCATACAGAAAAGATCTGTGTAGTAGAACTGTGGTGCATGGTGGTGGTTTTGACTTTTTGTGTTGCCTAGCAAGCCAAAGGAAGAGTCCTTGCAGATAGCTTTCTGAGAAAGGCTCTTCCTTCCTAAGCCTCTTCTAACGCTGGTTGCAGTCGATCCTCAGGCACGTATTTTTCCCGTGTAGTTCAGTTTGTTGCTTAAGCTACAAAATCTTGCTTTTTTTCTATTGCTTGGTTACTTACAAAAGCAGAATGTCTCTTCAAGCTCGAGAAAGGAGTCAGAACTGTGAACCAAGAACTACGGTCAGTATAAAAATCATCTAGGAAGTGACCACAGCAGAGATATCGCAGGGTTTTTTCCCTGCTGTGGTAACATCTGCCTTTATGGCTCCTTTTACCCTGCATTCAGTTATTAGTCCCAGTCATGAAGGACCTCTTTGACAAGAAATGGAAGGATGGCTTCAGGTCATATTAAACAATTACATGCCACCTGCAAGTAACTAACTCTTTTGATTGCCTCCTTTTAATGTATATAGTTCTTTGCTTACATTACTGTAGAGGATTTTTTCCAGTTTTCACCATCTGAAGGAAAAGAGAAACTTAAGGATATTTTTCTCTGTATTTCTGGAACTAGGCCTGATCTCCATTTCTTATTTCATATGCATTCACTGAACTGTTGCTCTCAGCAGCATCACTTGTTCAAACTTAATGTGAAAGGCTACAACAGGAGAAAAAAGTGAGAGAGGGATTAATGGAGTCTCCCAGTACTGTGGCTTTCAGGCATTAGTCTCTTCTGTGTTTCTGTTGCTACCTAAAAAGACTTCTGTTCAGCTTGGAAGAAGATTCTTATGCATTTCATTTTTGTGGGAGTAGAACACTCAAACCCTTGAATTGCGGTCCTGTGGTCTCTCCAGAGATTTCTACCCCTTGCTCATGTCCACCTTAATGCTTGTGCAGATGTAACAAGTTCAATCAGGGAACTGACTTGTCTGAAAAAAGGATTATATATTTGGTAAAGATCATCTTCACTATAATCAACTCCCTGAATTAACTCATGCAGTCACACAAGCACCATTACTGCTGCAAGGGAGAGCACACCAAATGTACACCAGCAGGAGATATGGGGGAAACAAGCTCACAGCCCCCTTCGTTCATGCTGTGCAGTGGCTAGAAGCACAAAAAAGCAGCAGACAGTTGTTTTGACTCTGGAGATGTTGATACGAAGCCAGTTATCAGCAGTCCTACGCTGCCACATAGAGACTTCAAAGATCCAAGAGCAAACTGGAGACTTCTGGAAAAGGTAGCTCTCCCAGCTGCCAGGATGTTCAATTCTAGAGGATGATGGCCAAAAGATGGCCTACTGCGCAGCTGCTCTTTCATATTTCATAGCTGTACCGTGTCTTAACAGTTCAAAAGAACCAAAGACACTTGGATTTTTTTGGAGAATTCTAGCATCTAGAATTGTTTTAAATTCCAGATTTACATGTCCTGCCATAACACTGCTTTGCTAGAATTAATTCTTTAATAAAAAACTGAAAATATAATGGAAATTTTGTTGTTTTCTCTTGGAAGCTTGCCTAGCATAAAAAGTAAGCCCAGAAAAAGAAGATAAAATAATCTTCCCTATGACCACCACCATCAAGAATGAGGGACATAGTCTTTCAATGTCTACCAGGTGATTATAATCTTTATCTGTTCTAAACAATTTAAGCTTTGAAGGTAATTATTCACTTGCTTTGAAACTCTGAGGCTTCTCCGGCAGAATTTTTTGCTAGTTTTCTTTCAATAGATAAAAGGATTCTCTGTTTTACTATTCACAATGCACAATTAATGATCACGGTGCTACAGTAATACCAGTAGTAAACGGTTGTGCAAATTTTGCACACACTATCACCCAAAACCTGATTTCTCACATCAACCTTGAATTTATTCATCATCCAATTTAATAATTAAATTGCTGATTAAGTATAGTCACAGTTACAGAAGTGCATCTCTGACCTTAACTCATCCCTGCAGTTTTCCACTTCATGGTGCACCATACATAAATGCATGTACAAATAACTCTTGACAACTCTAAGAGTGCAGTGAATTGATTTACAAGAAGTAAAATCAGTTAATGTTGTTACTTTTAGCATATTTTTATTTTCAGTTTTCAAAATGGTTTTTGACGCATATTCCAGTTGCAAAAAAATAACTAGGCTGTTTTTTACTGTCAAATATATAAACTTTTCCAGCTCCAAAGCAGTGTTCCTAAAGAAATTAGGTGAATTAACATGTATTTTAAAAAACGATGCACAAACAGAGCATACTTAAGATATACTTACAAAATTCTGACCTTCTGAAGTAAGAAGTGTATAGAGAATAAAATCAGGTAACTATTTTTGAATGGCATTTCTATAAAGTCTTCTCAGGCATCTCTTCAGGACTGGTGCTGTTTGTAGGATAGTACTGGAGATACAGGCAGAACTGGTGATACTGAAATTGTAGTCAAC